CCCGCATGATTAATGATGCGGTGGTGATCACATTTGTGAAGACAGTGTCTTCTTTGTCTTGAATTATGCCTCAGCTTACAGACCCGCATGCGGTATTATTGCATCAAGGGATATTTGGGTCTCAACATTAAGAAGTACCTTTTGAACACTTAAAGCTGGATCTCCGTTAGTCTAGACCTGTCCCATTTAAACTATAAGTTGATCTTCCTACTTAGAGGTTATCTTCATAGGTAATTTCCCTCCTTCGTTTGGCTTTGAACATCCTTGTGAGTTAGAAACTAGAAATTTCTGTTTCACAATCAAAGGTCTTAGAAGGTGGAGTCCTGGCTTTGCCACTATGAAGTGTCGGTGTTTACCTTGTCTCTGGCATTGTGGTGGTGCCTCTGTGACAGACCCTCAAAGCTGTGGGGCTGCTGATGGGTGGTTGCTTGATTTAATGGGCATTATTTGAGGAGTAGGCACTGGGTTGTCTGCTGCTGTTGTGTTGGAGGGAATGATGACACTCTGAAGATGAGCGGAAAGGTCTTGACCCAGGTTGCTTTAATTCCTGCAACGTTTTACCCTTTTTGTCTTCTCCTCACTTCTCTTTTTACCAGGAAGCCAAAAAGAAGTATGACAAGGAGACAGAGAAGTATTGTGGCATCTTAGAAAAACACTTGAATTTGTCTTCCAAAAAGAAAGAATCTCAGCTTCAGGAGGTAAGAAATTGTATTAGTATCTTGAATAAAGTGTTCAATTTTATACGGTGCTGTGGATGTGTACTAGTTAAACAGAAAATTCTAGGTTTGGAAGAGACCTTGGAAACCAGGAGCTTGATCCGATGCCCAGTGCCTGGATGGCCTTTGTATCTTCCCACCCACACCACACCCTTGGTGGCTGTCCAGCCTGCCAGTGACAGAGGACCATGCTGCCAGTCACGATCACCCGTCTCCCTGTTGGGCAGCCCTAATTACGAGAATGGGCTTCTTCCTTTCAAACTGAGATCTGTTTTCCTGTTTCTCTCCCCCTTGACCTTGATTCTGTACTCGTATTTCCTCACCTTTTGACTCCCTGCCTTATATCAGTGATTTGAAATGCTAGCATCTGAAACACTTTGGTCATCCTTCATTAACGTTAATTTAAAAAATCTATCTCGACCAGTACTTGATGTTTACGTTAGTCTTTTTTTTTTTTAAAAAGCAGTACTTTATTGTCACTTGTATGGTTTGTGGTTTGGTAACCTTGTTTAAAAAAAAGTCACTTCTCTCACCTTCCCATGGTCTTTTTGGATTTGCATGGGGTGGGTCTTTCTTAGAGTAGTTCACTTGGGAAGAAAAGTCAGCTTTGCAGCCCTGGAGCAGTGACTAGTTTTCTTTTGTTCAGGGAGGTTTATGTGGCAAGGAAGTTTATGTTTCTGCGAGACAGGACAGTGTCCTAGTGAAACTCCAAATTTGGCTGTACAAGTGTCATTTTATTTAACTCTTAACAATTTGCTGACCTTTCTTGGGTATACGCTAAAAAGAGCTATGGTTTTCAAGCTAGCCCTCATTCTTAAATCTCTATTTTTTTCCTTTACTGAATATCATGCCAGTACTTTTGTGAAGTGAAGGTTCATATGAAGAGGGCAGGGTCAGAAGTCGAAAGATGAAGACAGCTCAGGGGTGGTGGAGTCTGACCCCTGCCCAACCGGGATTCGTTAGACATCCTCGGTTAGGAATGCGTGGTTCTCAGGACTCTTTGCTTGGGTATTTAAACCAATTGTTTGATTGATGAAGAGCACTCAGCAACATCTCTAGCCACTGGTATTTATAGTGGACTTTGCAGACCAGATCTGACCAGCCAGTCAACAGCAATTGAGTACATGGTGTGAACTGTGGAAGCACATGAATGAGGAGGTGATTCTTAAAGTAGCATAGCTACTCCAGTAAATCTTGCCAGGTGTGCTAGAGAAAGCTAAAGAAATGCTTATTTTTACTGCACAGTATATAAAGGCTATTCACAACTCTACAGGGGGATATGGCCAGGATATCTCAGAATATGGGATTATACAGGATAAGTTTATAGTTCCATTTAGGTTCTGTCCTGGTGCCCTCACTTTTTAGTTGTCATTCCTCTAGCATCATATGGCACTTAGGGTTTGGAAACTATATTTAAGGAAGTCTTTGGCTGCGGATTACAATGGCCTGATCTGGCCAGCCCTACAGTTTCTAAGCAGTGAGATGAGTTGAGGTATTCAAGAGTTGAGCAAGTGTGTATTGTTCTAGCACCTGCTGATAATGGGAGGCCCACAGGACAGGCATCCTACAGGCGTGGCAGTCCCCAGAGTGAGGGCATTCTCCTCCCAGTCTGTTCTCTCCATGCCTGGATATTGCCGACTTGGTCTGGGGTGAGTCCAGCATGATCTTTTAGGCCATACCAATATTATCTCCCCCCTGAGTAGCAAAATTGAGGGACCAGAACACTGACTGGCAAACAGATACCTTATTTCAAGGCCTGCTCTGCCATGTATTCACTGTGTGACCTGGGAAAAGTACTCATCTCTCTGAGCTTGTAGTCCCTCTGTAAAATACTCATAAAATACCTGTCCTGCCTACTCCATGTCTGAGAAGGCAAATTATAGCTGTTACACAAATGTAGAGAATTATCCCTATGAGTGACCTGTTCTTCCTCTATTCCCAAGTTGGATGGTACTCTTCTTGACTGCCTCGGTCTGCTTGGGCTGCTGTCACAGAGTACCACAGACCAGGTGGCTTTTAAACAACATATATTTATTTCTCTCAGTTCGAGAATTTGGGATTTCAAGATTAAGATGCTAGCAGATTTGGTGTCTGGTGAGGCCTGCGTCCTGGTTCATAGACAGATGTCTTCTTTCTGTGTCCTCACATGACCAGAGGGCTAAGGGAGTTCTCCGGGTCTCTTTTATAATCCCATTTATGAGGACCTTACCCTCATGACTTGATCACCCCCCCAAAGGCCCCACCTCCAGATGCCATCGCATTGGGAATAGGTTTCAACCTATGAATTGATGGGGAGCAGCACCAACATTCAGTCTGTAGCCCAGACTTTGCCAGTATATATCTTAGTGGGTATTTTTTCATTATGTTCTTTTGTTACAGTCCTTTGTGTTCTTGTCTTTTACCCATTCATACTTTCTAAGTACTTTGAGGGCCAGGAGTAGGCTAAAGGTCTTTCTTGTGAGTCCTGGCCTGTTCTCAAGCATTACTATTTGGCTGTACTTGAACTTAATTAAACAAAATAATCTAATAATAATAGTGACAATACTTGTACTAACAAAAACAACAATAATAGCAGCAAATGTTGAATGCATATTTATGTATCAGGTACTGTGTTGAGCATTTTACATGGAATCATCTCAACTCCTCACAGCCACCCTCTGAGGTGCCCCTTTATTTTACATTTAAAGAAACTGAGGCTCTGAGATGTTTAATAGTCTGCCCGTAGCTGCTCAGCAAGGATTTGAACCCTGGCCCCCGACTCTGGAGCCCTTTCCCTTGACCCAGTATGCTCCTCTGCCTCCCTCTCCCTTGGGAGGCAGGGATGGCGCTCTGCTTCCTGCCTGCCTGCCATTGTTATTCAGTGTGTGTCAAGCAACTAGAACTGGCCAGAAGATGATCATCTGGTTGAGGCTCCTGAAATTACCTTTGAAGGACCTGAGTTTCTTGCAGAGGTCAAGTGATTGGCTCAAGGTCTCCCAGCTATTTAGTGATGCTTTTCTTCACATTTATTTAAAAAATCAATTTTAGGGATCATTATTAAACACCTAGTACACATGTAATGAAATCTACTTCCTTTGACTATCCAGAATTGTTCCCCCATTGCAGGGCTCTGAACTCAATACTTATAAATCCTAGCCCATGCCTAGATTCCTGGCCAGTGAAATTATAGGGCAGAGATATGGAATGACACTGCCATCTAGTGGATGACTTCTTAAAAATCAGTACATTCTTCAGTGGCTCAGAAGCTTGCTTCAGAGACAATATTTATTCGTTCAACAAATATTCATTGCACACGTCTGTGAAAAAGTCTGTTCAGGCATTGAGTGTATGGTGGGGGGTGAAATGAATGATCTGCCTTCATGGAACTTACAGTTTAGGAGAATATCTCTTTTCCAAGAAGCACGGAATGTTTGGTAGGATTTAGTTTCCCAAGTAACAGGCAGGGAACCTGTCTTGCGTGGCCTTCCGGGTGGTTGGAATCCTGGCTTATGATTCCATTGCAGGGGGAGCTAAGGATGCGGTGAATTCTGTGGCTCAGATGAGAGGGGACATTGGCGGAAGACACATACCATCCCATTTGGGATTTCTTCTTCCCTTTCCTTTGGAATTGCATTCAGTCACATGTTTGTTCTGAGTGCTGGGTCCGGATGGCCACGTAGAGATCAATCCATTCATTCCTCAGGTATCTGTTGATGGCTTACTATGGGTCAGGCACCCCATCAGGGAACTGGAAAGGAAAAGCAGAAAATTGAGATGAGGTGTTTGCTCTTATGACTTTATATTCCAGTAGTCATTACACAAGAGAAGAGAGGAATAAATGAGAATGTTACACAGTGTAAGGAAATAAAGTGGGAGAGAAGATGGAGACTGCCTGAGCCCACCTATGTAAAGTAACATGGTTCCCGAAGGCCGCTCTGAAGAGGTAACATTTGAATGGAGACCAGAAGCATGAGAAGGAGCGAGCTGAGTGACAAGCTGGGGCAGTGCTCCATAATTGTGGGCATGTCATACAATCTGAACGACTGGGTCATGAAATAGAGTAGAGTAGGCTGGACAGAATGAGAAATATGAAAGTGTGTTATTGCATTTAATTATATAAATGTATGCTTATTAGGTCATAATGCAAAAGGTATTTCTTACTGTGTACTGAAGTTAAAAAAATGAATATTTATCTAGGGGAAGAGGTGCAGAAGGAACCCCAAGTGCAGAGGTTGCATGGCAAGAAAGAGGTGTGGAGTGTTGGAGAACAGCAAGGAGTCCAGAGTGACTAGAGCACAGACAGTGGGTTGGGGTGGGAGGGGGTGAGGTGGGGTGAGTGGGCAGGTCACACCGGGTCTTGCAGACTGCGGTGGAGGCCAGGCAAAGGCATTGAAGGGGCTGTGAGAACATCTGTGAGAACAAAAAGGTATTCTGGCTGCTGGGTGGAGTCTGGACTGGAAGGGGAGGGAATGAAATTGGGGGGACCAGTTAGGAGAGAAGTGGAACTGCCTAGAGACGATGTGGCTGGCTTAGGGCAGGAGCAGGGATGGAAGCCCATCTACTCTGATTTCCCCGGTGATAATCACAACCCAGGTGTCCGGGACACTTCCTGGTTTTCAGATGGTTTGCATCCTTTAGCTGATTTTCTCTTTGAAACAGCTCTACTCAGAGCAAGAGCAGATACTGTCATCTCCATCTTCCAGGTATGAGAAAGAGGTCCAGAGATGATAAATGACTTGAGCCGGTCTCACCAGCTCGAAACAGGTAGAACTGCAACTGCGGCCCAGGCGGTCGCTCTGCCAGCGCTCTGACTGATGCTGGGCTCTGCTGTTTTCTCAGAGGACTTCCTCTGGTTCCTTCATCCTGCCTGACTCCAGGAGGCCCTTTGCCGGTCGTCAGAATGCCCCTTTTCCCAGTTACAGTTTCAGTTGGCAGGCCAAGCAGGGAGGACATCTGAGGGCTGTGGGTGGTCAGGGGAGTTAGTGTGGGGAGGGGGTGCTGCGTAGTGATTTACCGAAGATGATCAGAGGCAGATCAACCAGGAGAGAAGTCCCAGCTCTGCCCTGTGCTGGCTCCCTCAGGGTCCTCAATGTGAGCAGACTTTCCTTTCCTCCTGTAAATTAGAGGTGAAGAGAACATCTTCTTTTTAGGAATTTGATGAATGTTAAACAACTAGAGTTAATGAGGTTCGAATAAGGTAACATATGTATACCTGTGGACACAGTACCTGGCACAAAGTTAAGTGCTTGGCTAACGGTTACCAGGATTCTTTTTTCTGTTTCATGCCGTTTGATTTGTTTTTATAACCCCTCTCCAGAGATTTCGCTGGCCTGCTTGCTGAATGCTCTCCGGGGGTAGTAACTTGATGTTTCTCTGAAATCTTATTTGTAGGCAGACAGCCAGGTGGACCTGGTCCGGCAGCATTTCTATGAAGTATCCCTGGAGTACGTCTTCAAGGTGCAGGAAGTCCAAGAGAGGAAGATGTTTGAGTTCGTGGAGCCTGTGAGTAGCTGTGCTGTGTTTAACCGTGTTGTATCCCCACCCCTTATTCCCACTACTCAGATGGCAGATGATCCAAGCTGTTGATGGAGAGGCTCACCAGCCCTGATGCTGTGCCGTCTGGAAAGATCAGTGCTTTCTCAGTCCGGCCACATGGTTTTTCCTGTCATCGTTCCTGTACAACCCCAGGGGGGAGGTGGCGCAGCAGCAGTAGTTGATTCCTCTAGCCACCCTGCATGGCCCCTCTGGTTTGCTGGTGGAATGAGTGAAAATAAAGGAGGGGAGGAGTTTTCATTTTGCCAATCAATAGTGATTACACCTTAACTTTCGTCCCCCCTCCCGCCTTCCTCCCTCAAATAATCCAGAGGTAGTAGTAACCCAGGAAACAGGAGAATGTACATGCTACCTTTCTTTCGCTTTTGCCTCCTGAGTTCAAAGCCCCTCTTCGTCCCTTTCGTGCATTAAAAGATGCTTTATAAAGCGATTTCTTGCTTTAGACGCTATAGCCAACCAGCATGGAGAGTCTGCTGGGTGCACCGGGATGGGACTTGGACTTGGGCGCTGTCCCGGTGGCCATGGAAGGTCGTAGTGGGGGAGCAAGTCTGGCGGTGGTTTAGGCCACCCCATCCTGGTTGCGGTTTCATGCAGGCATGGTGCTGCCCCACCCCGCTGTGGCACTGTTCAGAAGAGTTCACAGAAACACCAGAAGATCATGCAGGTCTCAATTCAGAGCTGTTGCAGACCTTGCATTTTTCAGTCAAAATGCAGCTTCTCATTTAGACTTGCGTGGGATCTCTATACAAATAAAATTATTATTTTTTAAATTCCCACCCAAGGATATGTTTTTATTGATTTTAGAGTGAGAGGAAGGGGGGGAGAGAGAGAGAAACATCCATGTGAGAGAAACATTAATTGGTTGGTTGCCTTCTGAATGCGCCCCGACTGGGATCAAACCTGCAACCTAGGTATGTGCCCTAACTAGGAATTGAACCTGCAACCTTTTGGTATACTGGGCAGTGTTCCAACCAACCAGGCCACCATCCAGGGTTCAAATAAGATTCTTCTCGCCCAGCCGGGTGTGGCTCAGCGGTTGAGCATCGACCTAGGATCCAGGCGATCGGGGTTCGATTCCCGGTCAGGGCACATGTCCAGGTTTCGGGCTGCAGCCGATCAATGACTCTCTCATCATTGATGTTTGTATCTCTCTCTTTCTCTCCTTTCCTCTCTCTGAAATCAATAAAGATATATTTAAAAAAAAGATTCTTCTCTACCTAGAGTTAAGAAAGAGTGATTCTCTTGAACAAGTAAGACTAAAATTATAAGAAATTGAAAGAAAATGACTGTTCTTTTTAGTAGAGAGTGTCTTGTGCCCCATGGCTAGTTAACAAACTTTTGGGATACTTTTAAAGCATGTAGACCTAATAGTTTTATCAAGACTCCAGATAGTTTTGGAATTTGATAGTTATGTCTTTTACTATACTGGGACTATGATATTGGAATTCCACTCACAGCCACCTTATCTGGCAAATTTTTAAAAGTCTGTCATTACTTCAGTCTTCTTATCTGAATATTGGAAACTTTAGAGCCAACTTCCTATCTAGCTGTGGTCTCCGCCACAGTAGGGCGTGGGAGGTGGGAGAAGCCATTTGTCAGAAAGCAAGCTCGTCGGTTTCCCTGCTAGGGGCACAAGGGTGTCAAAGCCAGGCTTTCAGTCAGAGGTTTACTGAAGACTGTTTCCTGTGGTCAGGGCAGAAATTAAAGTGCTGTTGCAGAATTAGCCTTTGGCATTTTTACTTGCTGTTACTAGAGTTTCCAGTGGAAGAAAACACAGTGCGATTTGCACCATTCTTACGTTATACAGAACATGTTGACTGATATTACTCTATAGTTGCCTAATTTGGATGGTTGCATTTTAACTGGCCCATCCTACATTTTTAGCTGAGGTTTTTTTGGTCCACTTTGATCTCTCAGTAGGTATGCCTAGTGAATCAAATATTGCATCTTTTAGCTCTTGCTGGGTGACAAATCATCACGAAAACCTCATACAACACGAGGCATTTATTTTTTATAGCCCTGTGGGGTTCACCCAATCTGGGCTGGGCTCAGCTGGGTGAGCCTGCCAATTTAGGTGGGCTTCCTTCCTCTTCTTTCTTCTTCCTTTTACTGTTTGTTTTTCCTCCAAGAAATCTGCAAGGGTTTATCCTTCTATTTCCCAGCATTCTCTTGTAGTGTACCAGTGTATTGAGTTTTCTGAGAGGTGGTATAGCATCATTGTTTAGGGCTCTAGAGCCAGACTGCCTAGATTTAGCTCCCAGCTCAGCCATTTTCTAGCTGTTTGTTCTTGGGGGAAGTTATTTATTCTGCTGAGCCTCAGTTCCCTCATCTGCAAAATTCGTAAGTAATACCACCTACCATATAAAGATGTTATGGGGATTAACTGAGTTTGTCCATGTAAGATGCTTAGGACGGAGCTAACCTAATTAGCACCCAATTTTCTATATTTATTATATAATTACTCATTAGCATCCAGTTAGTTATTTTTTTATCTGAGGTCGATGACTCTATAACCTTTGGCTGCCCACAGTCCCCTCAAAGGAACAAATACTCAAGTCCCAATTTAACAAGGTCTACCAATTTTAATATAAATAGTAAATCTAAAAGCATTTATTTACGGACGACCATAGGAAATGCCGAAGGCCCCTCTGCTGTGTCTGAGGAGCTCACTGCCTCACTGGGGACACAAAATGCATATAGTAGAGAGGTAGCTAAGGCAGTAGGCAGCTCGGTGCCAGGTTGGACAGGCCGGGTGGTATAGAAGTAGCAGAGGAATGTAAAGAGTAGAAAACCATTGTGGCTGGCAGGTGTTTCTCAAGTCATAAAGTGAGGCACCTGGAAACCTAATGAAAAAAGTTTCTGGCCTCATGTTAGAATGAAGAGACTCACCCAAAGTTAAATTAAATGGGTCAGGTGAGAGGCTGGATGTAGGATTCGGATGTTTAACCTTCACTTTTCTACAGGAGTTCTTGTTTGTGAACACACCAGCTTCCGGGCAGCTGGAAGAGGAAAGCAAGGATAATTTCCCTGCAGGTTTTGGAGGGAGTGTGCCCTACTGACACCTTGATCTTAGACTTCTTGCCTCTAGAGCTATGAGGCAATAAATTTCTGTTGCTCTAAGGCACCTGGTTGTGAGAAAGGACAGAAAGGCAGGACACTGAGGAACACTCGGGAGGTGAAACACAAGAGGATGCAGCGTCTCTGTAGCTTCCAGTTAGTTAGTTATCCTTCCTTTCCTCTTCGTGGCTTCAAGAGCTGTGGAGAAGAGGGAGAAGAATTTCATAGAATGAAAATGCCACTGGCTAGATAAGTGGTTCTCAGAGTCTTAGAAATGCAAATTCTCAGGCTCCACCCCAATTTGGAGCTGGGGCCCAGTAATCTGTTTTTAGTAAGTCCTCTAGGTGATTCTGCTGCATGTTAAAGTTTGAGCCACTGGCCTACACTGTACAAAAGAACATGAAGTAACAACCGGTACTGGCTGATACTCGTGCATCTGCTGGTATCAACATCTTTATCTGAGTTACATCATCTCATCCTTATACTATCTGGGAGAGTAGGTGCTGTTTTTAATATCTGTTTTCAGGTAAAGAAATGGAAGCACATTTATTTCCTTCTCCAAGGTCACATGGTTTGAGTTGGTTGCAGTCAAGGGAGTCTTCTAGCTATTCAAGGAGTCCTCATGCTCATCGACTACGTTAATTTGTTTCTTAGAAAGTAACTTCACGTACCAGGATGTTATTGACCTTCAGAGAAAGAAATACAATTTTAGTGTTCCAAGGAAGAAAAATCAGACTTCTGGGGTCTAAACTATACGTACATATTTGTGTGTGTGTGTGCCCTGCAAGCCTTCATTTTCTTGTTGTACTAAATGTTCTGGGATGTGGATTGCAGATAATGACATACTGACTTCATGAAGGTGAAGTGCCCTGTTCCATTTGTTCCCCGAGTTTTCATAATCGAAGGTTACCTCGTGCTACAGAGATGCTGCATCCTCTTGTGTTTCACCTCCCGAGTGTTCCTCAGTGTCGTGCCTTGCTGTCCTTTCTCACTGCTTCTGCCCCGTTGCAGGTCTTTATTCTTTCTCTTTGGTCTGTGGCGTCCTGCCCCAGGCTTCCCCCTTCTCCAGCCTGGCCTGAATCCAGTTACCACAGTGCATCTTCTAACACATCAGTCTGATTATCTCTCTCTTGCTGAGCAGCTCCTGCCCACAATCCTGTGCTATGCCCATTTCCTAGATGACCTCAGTCTTTACACAACCCAGTGCAGTAGTAGGTGGCATTATTAACCTCCTGTAAAAGACGAGCTGAAGGCAGTTACATGGCATATCCAGCCCAGCTTTCCATCACTCCACTGTCTGTCCTTTTTGTTGTATGAATAAATGCTTCTTGGCAGCTACCGTGGTTTGCTAGGGCTGCTTGTAGCCAGGTACCACAATCAGGTGCCTTAGAGCAACAGAAATTTATTGCCTCATAGCTCTAGAGGCAAGAAGTCTAAGATCAAGGTGTCAGTAGGGCACACTCCCTCCGAAACCTGCAGGGAAATTATCCTTGCTTTCCTCTTCCCAGTTTCTGGTGGTTTGCTGGAAGTATTCGGCATTCCTCCATTGTAGGTGTGTCCGTCCTATCCCTCGTCTTTACATGGCTGTCTTCCGTCTCTGTGTCCACATTTCCCCTTTTTGTAAGGATACCAGTAATTTTATTTTATTTATTTTTATTTTTTTAAAAATATATCTTTATTGATTTCAGAGAGAGGAAAGGAGAGGGAGACAGAGAGATAGAAACGTCAATGATGAGAGAGTCATTGATCGGCTGCAGCCCGCAACCCGGGCCTGTGCCCTGACCGGGAATTGAACCCTGATCGCCTGGATCCTAGGTCGATGCTCAACCGCTGAGCCACGCCTGGCTGGGCGATACCAGTCGTTTTAAATTAAGGCCTAATGGCTTCATTTTAACTTTATTACCTCTGTAAAAGAGCCTATTTCTAGAATCACATTTTGAGGTATTGGGGGTTAGGACTTAAACATCTTTTGGCCAGATGGGATGGAGGTAGGGGAGTGGCTACATAATTTAACCCATAGCAGCAGCTCTGTTCTATGAGTGGAAACAACCTAAATTTATCAGATATTCCAGAATGATGCAGCCAGCACTCAATGAAAGAGTTACATTTTTGCTTATGTTTTAAAAAAGTAACTTAGATCTATGTTGTGAGCGAGGAGATAGGAATAGATATATTTTACAATCAATTCCTGAGGAAAACAGTGATGGATGAAGAAGGCAAATAGAGGTGGGAAGGCCTTTTTCTTGGTCTTTCCTTGGTTGTGCTGTGACAGTTCAGGGAGGAGCCTGGGTGGGCATGTTGACTTATCTGACAACTAGGAGAGGCTACAGCAAGCTCTTCCTGTGTGTTTGAGTAGAAACATTTCTTTGAGGCAGACAGATCTTTCCATCTCCAGAGTCCTTCTCTGGGCCTCGCCTGGCCCCGGAGGAGTGGACTTCCATTTCCCACTGGGTCATAGGTTCAGAGGTTCATACAGTGTGTGGGAAGGGGTATGTCAGCAGGTGGGGGTGGACAGAAAAGATGCTACCAGGGGACAAAGAAGGGAAAGTGGGCCGAAGATAGCAATGTCTAAGGAATCATTTTCTGTAGAAAAATGGATGATCAGGCATGATTATCCTTTGGTAGGAGGAAATGAAAACCAAAATAAATATTGGTAGCACTTGTGTGTGTGCCCAGGTGTCCTGCCTTCCTGTCTTTTCTCACTGCTGCTGCCCCATTGCAGGTCTTCATTCTTTCTCTTTGGTCTGTGGCATCCTGTCCAGGGCCTCCCCAGGCTCTTTTACAGAGGTAATCAAGTTAAAATGAAGCCATTAGGCCTTCATCTAAAGCCTTTGGAGCGCTTGTGCGTGTGCCCAGGTGCATCTGAGTGAGCTGTCTGAGATGTTTAATTACCCTAAGCAAGAGAGGCTTTGTTGACTTTAGGGGAGGGATAAATCAGAGTTAATAGGAGGAATGACCTTAGAATTAGCTGCTTATCTTCTGCTTTATTGTCCAGTAGAGGATAGCTTGGTGCCTTGGAAAAGTGAAGGGTGCAGCATTCAAGGACAGCAGGGAATGAAGAGCTAGAACAGTTTTCATTGTGAATATTGACACTAGGTTTGGCATACGAGCCCCTTCTTATATATTACTGGAGCCATCTAGGAGGAAAAGTATGGGCCTTCTCAAAAAAGTATTCTCTATAGAGTAAGTCCAAAGGCTCGGTCATCTTTGAAGCAAAGAGTTTTCTCATTAGTCTTGAGTGACTCTCTGTGACTTACCGCCCATTCATTGATTTAGGTGAGGGATCTATCTGTGGTGCCACTAGATGTTTTTTTGTAGCCAAAGGACTCAGCAGTGCTCTCCCACCTGCCATGAGGATCTCAGGGGATAGGTGATCCAGGGACAGTGGCAGTGGGAAGTTAAGGCACCACATTGTTGTAAGCTGGATTGTCTGACTTCCCCTGTAGAGCTCTTTGATAAACTGGGTGGGCCTGTGGCTTAGCCCGAAGACTGGTCTTCCCTCGGATCTCAGGCAGCATAGCACATACCTTGACGCTTCCCGTTTCTGTCCCCAGCAAGGTGGCGGGTAGTGGGGGTGGAGTGAGTTCCCTCAACCACGTTATTAGGGCTGCCTCTCAGAAAAGGAGACTTAGGTGAAAGTAAGTGAGACCATGGTTAATAAGTAAAGGCTTAGTCATTCGGGGACTAAAAAACTAAACACAACATAAAGTAAAGCAGCTGTGATGTAACGTGATAGAGGCGGGTCAGGGAGGTCAGAACGCGTGCGTCGGCACAGAAGTTCAAGTCAGAGCAGGGATGGTCCCCCAATGCAGTAGAGCTGAGCCTATGAGGGAGGTGAGGCTCTGGTTCTCCCAAACCTTGTTCAAGCTTTGATTATAACCCTTTCTCAGGCTGAGATTTGGAAGTGAGACAAGATGTGTAGAACTCGGGGAGGGGCCAGGGCAGCCAAACAACAGTGAGGCCTGCGTTTAGGCTCAGAGAAAAGATCGCAGGAAGGTTTATTTAGCTTGGAGAGGGGAAGGCTGGCTGGGGCCCAGGGCAAGGACATTGCTAGTTTTTAAGTATATGAAGGTGTGTGTTGTAAGAATTTTGGTGAACAGATGTTTTCACTCTTCACGGAAGACAAGACTAAACAATGAATGGATTTGCCTTTAGCCTGAGGCAATTTAAATGAGATTTTAGGGAAACCATCATACCTGAAAATGTGGGAACATGGGAGTATTTTAATAAAGGAGTCCATAGCGTTTGCCTTTGAATAGTGTAGGGAAAGCTGAGAAACACTTGAGCTGAAGTCTGACCTAGATGACTTTTTGGTTTGACTTTGCCTGTTAGACTTTAGACTCGGACCACACCAGCTTCCTTTACTCCCTTTCTTGTTGGTTATCAATTATGACCACACTCTTCTGCATAATAACCTGATATTACAAACATCTTAGAAGAAGACTAATTTGGAGCTCTGGTCTTCACTTTCTGACAAAATTATTTTCTTAGGAGGTGGTGAGGTTCATAGGGTAAGAGCTTGGATATTGGTCAAGGAGATCTGGTTTCAAATCCTGCCTACCACTTACTGTGTGTTTTGGGGCAGGTTACTTAATCTCTCTGAATCTGTTTCCTCATTATTAAAATGAAGATAACAGCATACTTACCTAAGAGGTCGTTGGGAAGACAAGGCAGTGCACACAAAGTTACAGTACCTGGCATACAAGTAGTGCTCAGTAAGTGGTAGCCATTATTACTACTTCATTTTAGATTTTCAACCAGGGCTGGGAACTCAGATACAACTACATAATGCCTCTTTGGCCTCCTTATGTGAACTCTGCCTTTCTGCCACATTGCAGCTCCTGGCATTCCTGCAAGGACTCTTCACTTTCTATCACCACGGTTACGAACTGGCCAAGGATTTCAGCGACTTCAAGATGCAGCTGACCATTAGCATACAGAACGTGAGTGGGCAAAGGGACAGACTTCCTTTCCCTGGGTAAGGAAAGGAAATAACAGGTTAGGGGTCTGGTTGCATAGAGAGCACTTACCTGGGTTGCAGTGCAGGTAAGGGGGAGTGGGTCTTGCTCCGTTCCAAGGGCAGCTGGGGGCAGGAGTATCTAGGGTCTTGGTAGCCCCAGATTAGAACATCATTCTCTTTTCCATTATTTCAAAGCACTATTTATGTTTTCGGAAGTGCTGCTGCTGATTATGTTTTAAATCCGTAGCACCAGAGTCAGGATTTCCTTTGGCTGTGGAAGTCCCAGCCCAGTCCTGCCCTGTCCAGCCCCTCTTCTGTGCATCTAGCTGCCTGGCCGCCCGAGACCTTGGAGCGTGTGTGTGTGTGTGTGTGTGTGTGTGTGTGTGTGTGTTCAGGGAGTGGGGGTGAGGCACACATGCTGGCCGCCAGCTCCAAGGATGTGCTCTTGTTCAACATTTAGTAAGGCTGAGAGGAAATCCAAGTCAACGTGGTTTATTCCCAGTCTCCTTTCCCAAGTTGCACACAGCAGCGCCCTTTGGTGCTCAGGATCCTGCCGAGGATCCAGTTGCTGGGGCTCGAGTGCCCTTCTTCATTATGTCTGGGCCATGTTAGTCTGCACGTTGTGTTTGTCTCTAGAGGATCCGGTGGAGAAAAGAAACCAGATGCATCCATGTGGGCTGTGTCGCATGGCTTTTAGAGGCCTGTAGCTCCCTCTAACATTGTTCCTGTGTCCCTGAGAGAACAGGAAGTTGCAGAGTCTGGGGAAAGGTTTCACAAAGCATGGCTTCAGCTGGCTTCCTTACAGGGCCAACTGAAGTGGAGATTGCAACATACAGGTTTACAGGGAACAGTGTCGGCAGAAATACCTGTGAGAGAGTGACGTCCCTGCAGGAGGAGTTGAGCTATGGTGCAGTTGCTACAGTGGCCTCAGTCAATGTACTGGTGCCTTGGAGCTGGGATGGCCTCAAGAGTGGCCAAAATAGAAGCAAGGGGACCAGGCATTTGACCCCTTCCCCTTTCGTCCCTAGACTAGCCACTGGGTAGGTGCAGGCTACCCTGAGGAAGGGAGTAACCCTCAGTGAAACAGCTCCCTTTGGAGGAGGGAACCATGAGATATCAGCTAGCAACATGGCCTGCAGCTGGAGGAATGAGCCCCTCAGTCCTGAGGGGAGCTGCAGAGGAGGGCATGCCCTCCTGTGGACCAGAATGGCCTTGGATGCTTGTTTGAAATACACATTTCTGGGTCCAGAGGTACTCATTTCACCTTTAGGGGTGAGGCCTGGGGATTTGCATTTTCTCCAAGTTCCTTAGGTGATTTTGAATGTTCCTAGAATTTGAGGGACAATCTGGTATAAGACTTTAAGGCCAGAGTATAATTTTTAATACTTGCCTAATTCTTAGATGGCTGACTTTAGAACTAAATTATCTGGTTTTAGATCTAAGGATTCTATTGGTTGATGTTCTGAATCGTTACAGGTGGGAATAGGGTTTTATTTCTTTGATTTGAGTATAATTCCTCTCATCCTAGACAAGAAATCGCTTTGAAGGCACCAGGTCGGAGGTGGAATCACTGATGAAAAAGATGAAGGAGAATCCCCTTGAGCACAAGACCATCAGCCCCTACACCATGGAAGGGTACCTCTACGTTCAGGAGAAACGTGAGTGCCGGTGACAACCGACAGCTTGGGGTGCACGCATGCCTTTTGCCCAGAAGGTGAAGGGTGTGTCAGTGGTGCCTGGCCAAGAGTGGTATTTTGTACACATAGGTTTGGGTGAATGAGAGTAATTTTATTGCTCAGTTTCCTAGGGGAAAGGTGGCGTTCACAAGTCTTGTCTACCTCCAAAGGACGTGCTCTGTTTTCTTTGTAGCTGGGAATCCCCTTGGGAATCTGGAATGCACTGAGACTCTGGTGCTTCTCCTCTCCCTCACTTCACTCGACTCTTGAGGTGCCTGTCCCCTTAGTTTAGCTTTAAACACCACACCCTTGGCATAGAGGCCTTGGAAGGATCTTGCCTGGTAGGCTCTGTTGTCCATCAGCAATCATATCCTTTCGTGGACTAAATATTTAGTGATTTTGTGTTCATTTGAGACTTGTTTCAGCAAGGCCCAAACAATCAGGACTTAAGTATTTTCCTTCTTCTCCTCAACTCCTGTCATCCCAGCACTTAAATTTATGAAAAGTAGAGATGAAAGCTCACTCCCAGAGCCAGGAGGAAGATTCACTCCTTGCTGGCGTGATGGCAAGGAAAGAAATGCCAGGTGCCAGTGACACCAAGTTTTCAGTGATGCTTTTCAAATTCGTGCACTAGGCTGGGAAAGGCCTTGTGACCGAGGAGGCTGTGCTGTTAGGGTAGCACTCCCAGGCTTAGTTCATGGGTGCAGCGCTAGGGAGAAGAGAAAGCAAATGTTTCCGTTCATGGATAGCTCTTCTAGTCTCTCTCCTACTCCTGCTTTCTTGGCTGGACACATTTTTGCTGGTTTTGTGCTTTTATGTCCTTCTGTTGGTTTGGGGTTGGACAAATGTCTTCACGCCTGGAAGCTTCCTGATGGAGCAGAAGTAGAACACTTGGTTTCAGTGAAGATTCTGTTCAGTGGTTACTAAAAATCTGCGTGGCTTAGAGTTGTTCCCTGGTGACAGTGGGGGCAGTAGTGGGGTTGGAGGTTGGAGCATCGGTTGTGATGAGAACTTTCTGTCCCTTATTTTTACAGGGATAAACTTGTCGAGGTTTGTAGGGAACAGGCTACGTTAGTTCTGTTTCATATGTACCTGACATAAGGTGATGCCTTCTTTGCCCAGTGAGAAGATCCACCCCCGAAAGTTTAAGGGGAACTTGAAAATATAAATTCTTAGGACTGTAAAAAATATAGTTCAATGCCCACTTATAATACTTAACTTATTAATATTGTTCACTTACATATATAAAATCAGGTGCTTTTTTGCACTCTCACATTACGTTGTACAATTTTATTCAAACACTGCACGTGCTTTTTCAACATTAATGTCTTCATTATCATTGGAACCACGTTTTGATTCTCTAACACAGTAGCCCAGAGCATATCATTGGGATTCAGTTTTTTTTCTTTAGAAGTTTTTGTAATTTATTATTTTGAAGTAATTTAAAACTTAAGGTTAATGCAAGAAAAGTGTAAAGAATAACCATTTGCCCTTTACCCCGATGCATGAATTTTTACCATTTCCCCACAATTATATCATTCTTTCTTTGTATGTGTGTGTGTGTGTGTATGCGCACATCACAGTCACAGATACACAATTTTAATTTTTTCCTGAACCGTTTGAGAACAGGTTGCATATACCATGCTCCTTTACTTCAGTGTGTATTTTCTAAAAATCAGGATGTTCTTTTATGTATCCATAGTTACCATATCCAGGAAATTTGACATTGATAAGATATTTGCGATAAAAGACAGCACCTATTGCGAGTTTGTCAGTTGTGCCAATAATAAATGCCCTCAGACAGCATTTTGTTTTGGTCCAGGGCAGGATCTCATACTGCATTTAGTTGTTAACGGCAGTTAGAGGAAGAAAAGCTGAACACTTCCTCAGCTGTCCTTTGTCTTTTATGACATTGACATTTTTGAAAAATATCAGCCAGTGCTTTTATATAATCCTTCAGCGTGAGTTCAGCTAATGTTTTCTCAAGGTCAGAGTGAGGTTATGCATCCCCGGACACATCCTACCCAGGTAACACTGTGTCCTCCGCTGTGAACCGCGTCCGGAGGCACAGTGTGGCACCTGCCCCTCGGTGGTGATGTTCATTTTGGTCACCCAGTCAAGGTGCTGTCTGGCTTCTTCCCTGGACAGTCACTATTTTTTCCCTTACAACTAATTAGTAGTCTGTGGGGAGATACCTTAAGACCGTGTAAATATCCTTTGCGCCTCCCCCCAGCCATAGACTCAGCATCCATTGAAAATCCTGCCCGAACTAATCTTTACTATGATTTTTGCAAAATGGTGATTTCGCAGCTCTGCCACTCCATCCACATTTATTAGTTGCCATTTAGTGTACTGTAAATAGGTGATCTCCCTTCTCTTTCCCTTTCTCCCTCCCTCTCTCCTTTACTATCTGTCCACCTATCCATCCACCCATCTACCCACCCATTCATCTGTCTGTCTTTCTATTTGTCAGTATGGATTTATGGATTTCCATTTTATTCATGGGCTAAATTCATTATTCTCTATTTGTTTTGATGCTCAAATTGTCCAAGATACAAGCACTTATGGAATCTTTGTGCTGTGTTATTACTGGATTTTTTTTCCCTTTAAGCCACAAAAGATACATTTGAATGGTTGGTATTTTCATTTGTCTTTGATGTTCTAATGTAGACACTTACTGTATTGCTTTTTAAGTTTACTAAGTAATAGCTAACATTTGCAATGGTCAGTCACACTCTGAAAAATAGTGATTAAATGACTGCAAAACCTCTATTCATGCTATCGTTATTTTTTCACCATTTCTGTTTATGTGATCCTGTAAGCATCTAAGACTATTATTGACTGAGGTCCTTGCAGGGTAATAAAGTAATTGGCCAAGCACTGGGTAAAATCAGAAACTTAGTCAGACTTTGACTGTGACTGCAGGGTATCTCTGTCTTTCCTGAGAGATAATTTTGAGGGATAGACTCCTTAGATTACATTTGGGCATTTACAGTTACTTCCATTCTAGATTTCTGGTGTCTCTGCGTTTTTCTTGTCTGCTTCTCAGGTCTTGAGATCCGCTAATGTGAAAATTAGGGGCTTGGAAGTAGGTCAGAGTCCCTGTGTGTCTGTGCACATAGTCACAGGGCAGCTGTGTGGGAAGCCTGAAGTCACTGCACCAGATGGGAATGGTGACAGCACTTTGAGGAGCCTTTCTGTGTTCTTTCCTCAGTCGTCTTACTCCTGTCAGGGGAGTGACAGGAAACTTCAAATGGAGATTGATGATGGGAAAGTGAATCAATTTCCCCAGGGAACCTCTAATTCCTTTACATTTTAAGACCCATTGGATGTAGCATTTAGTGGGAAACTGTCTTCCTTGGTCTCTGGGGAAAGCCCTGGGTAGGTTCCATTTCCAGCCTGTGGGATCAGATTTCTGCCTGTTCCAGTCTAGCTGGTGTGGAGAATATATTGCCCCTAGAAACAAGTTAAGGGTAAGTGAGCATTGTGGGTTACGGGGTGCTTGTCTTTCTGGCACGCAGTGGACATGTGCAGATGTTTTATGGGAAATATTACTTTGCAGGTCACTTTGGAACTTCTTGGGTGAAGCACTACTGTACCTATCAGCGGGATTCCAAACAAATCACCATGGTACCATTTGACCAAAAGTCAGGAGGAAAGGGGGTGAGTTCATTTTTAAAAATTTCTTGCTTGATTTGCTTGCCTAACAGATCATTAGAATGCATGTATAAAATAACACCTCCAGTGTTTCACTCTAATTTTCTTAATTTTTATACGGTAGTTCCAGGAGGCATAGTACCCTCAAAAGTAACTAAAACAAAATGATTATTCTTAGCTCTAAGTTATATTAGAAATTACAATTAAGAAAGAGCCTTGTATTTCATATATATGCAGTATTAAGTGTGTCAAATGTGTTTAGATGCTAGAAATTCTTGGATGACCTCACCCTGTAAAACTGATTCACATCACGCTCACTTGATACCTACAGGGCTGCCAGTTGGCAGCTTAGATGTTCCAGTTATCTCTTGCTGTGTAACGGATCCCCCAAAACTGAGCAACTTTTAAAACAATACTCATCATCTTAGTATTTCTCACAATTTCTGTGGGTCAGGAATTTGGCGAGCATTTGTTTGGGTGGTTTGGGTTCAGGGTTTTCATGGGGCTCCAGTCAGGTGGGAGACTGTAGCTGGAACATTGAGGGTCCCAGCAGCCCAAGGTTGGTAAGAATCGCTTCTTCCTTTCCCCTGATCTCCTCTCTCCTTGTCTCTCTTTCTCTAGAGTCTCAGGGCCTGTCTGTCTGGTCTCTCATGTGGGCTAGTTTGGCTTCCTCACAGCATGGTGGCCGCTGGGCAGCTAAACGTTTCAAGAGTGAAGATTCCAGCAAGGGAAGCAGAGACCGCATTGCTTTCTAATGACCTACCCTTGGAAGTCATATGACCTTACTTTTGTCCTGTTTGTTGAAATAGTCACAAAAGCCCATCCAACCCACCAAATTTCAGTGGGAGGAGAGGATACAGACTCAGTGGGAGGTGAAATAGCAGAGTCACACTGTAGGAAGAGTGTGTGGGATGGAAGATATTCTTGTGGTCACGTTTGGAAGACTCAGGCTGCACGAGGCTCATGGGTCACTCCTTGCGGTGCTCCAAGGGTTCTCCTTCCCTCCAGGTGTACTCACTGCATGCGTTTCCTTTTCAGGGGATCTGCCTTTTCTCTCCGGCAGATTATCATTATTTCTATTATCTCCTTCTGGAGATACTTAAATGTTTTCAAAAAAATATATTTATATTTTCATCTCTGAATCTCTGGACTCCATTCTGATGTCTGTGGTTCTATCTTTAGTTTAAGCAGTTTTTCAGCTGTGTCTGATCTGTTGATAAATTAGTCCTCTGTTGGTATTCTAACCCTGATCCTCTCTGTGGTGCACTTTTGTGCAACACGTTGGGTCTGTACATGTGTGGGCATTCAATTTAGAGGCTAAGAGCACTGCCTGGGTCAGTATTGTTAGATGCTGTTATTACTGTTAACTATTCTGTCCCCCTGCCCCCTTGCTTCCAGTTTTTCTTCCTGGCTTTCTTTTTATAAGGCCACAGCACAGGAGTTTATCAGTGTCTCTGTTCCTTCCCTGTATCAAAGCAAAGAAATTTCAAAGCAACGAATTTAAAAATTTCAAAGCAAAGAATTTAAAAATTTCTCGTCAGGGGTGGGTTAGACATATAAATAATCTTGAGAAAACAGACATGTGAAAATATCGAAACGCAGAGAAATTACAGAGTTAGAAGGAATATTTAAAAACCTATGTTAGTAGGTATCCCCTGGTGTTCATGAGTGGAAATAGAGTTCGGCCTGCCTTCCTTGGGTCGAGGCATAGACCTTTTCTAAGTCTTAGTCCTTCTAGAAACCAACTTCACCAAATCTTCTCTCACACAGTGTTTATTTTGGGGCTTTTTATATTGTGCTGTCCTAAACCTTTAATGAGGAGCTCTCTTGTATTTTCTCTACTTCTTACACACTTGAAAGTAAAGGGCAGGGACCAGTTATGGTGGATGTTTGGTATTCCTTGACTTTAGTGAGATATTAGCAAACACCTCATTGAGTTGTCGAGAGGTTTATATGAATTAGTGTGTGTAAGCTTCTTGGAACAGAGCTAGACAGAGCACTATCTTATGAACCTGATGTTGTAATAATTTTCCTAACCATAATTCCTTGTGTTTGTATCACATCTGACATATTTGTAAGTCCTTTTATTGTCCTGTATTATCCTGTTTGATACAGTTTTCCTCCTTTACAAAAGAGAAAATTGAGGTTCAGAGAGAGAAAGTGATTTCTAAGGCCATACAATGAATGAGGGATAGAGCCAGTACTCAAACCCTGATTCTGGGGTCTATATCTCCTGATTCTGGGGTCTAAAACAGTAGTAATATATAATATGTAGTCATTTATATATATAATAACGTATTATTACATATAACATATAAATTAACACATACTTTTATGTTAATAATACCATATAACATATATATAAGTAAATAGCTTTCCAGGGAATGGCTCTGTTTCCTTAGCTGTAGGGTGGAAGATATATGAAGACTGGCTGTCTTAGAGGTAATGTCTTCTTAATTTATACAGGGGAATCACGTGAAGTCTTTGTATACGTGTTTGTACAAAGCTTTCCTAGGAGCTGGAGGTAGACCTAACATAGATTATAGGGTGGTTTCTCTTCTTAACATGCTTTTGCTCCACCCTTCTCTCCTTTCACTGTCCCTTTCATTTGGATTATGTTCCTTTAAAAGCACCCACTGTTCTGTTAGCTTCAGGCCAGGAGATGTGAGCAGATGTGCTCCATCCTTGGAGACCAGCCCTTGTGTGTGGTGGAAGAGGCTTCCCTGCACCCTCAGTCTGCGACGAGACGCCTCTCTGCAGTAGGTCTGCAGCAGCCCAGAGCTGCCCCTGCCCCTTTCCTCATTTTCCCACTGCTCTCAGAATACTGACCATAACCTGCATGATCTTGCCCCTGGATCCCTCGAACCCTTTCTCGTTCCACTTTCCCTCCTGCTCTGGAATTCTGGCCACACTAGCTTCCCTCAGTGCCTTCAGGGATCCCAGGACTATGACCGCAGGGCTTTCCCACCTGCTCTTCTCCATCCCCAGTGCTGTTCTCCTGGTCTTATCTCACGTATCCTTCAAGTCCCAGCCCAAGAAAGCCTTTGCTGACCTTCCTGACCAGGTCAAATCCCCTTAATTTAGGCTTTTGTAACACAACCTGCCTTTTGTTCTATAGTGTTTGTCAGTTGTACCTTTTCATTTGTTTGTTTACGTGATTATCTGCATCCCCCACTTTTTAAACCATCAGTAGTTGAACAGATCATCTTTATAGATTTTTTTTCTTGATATGATATGGTTGTCTTTGGGACAGAATCTTCTTAATTCTTATATTTGACATTATTTTATAGATCTCCTGTTCCCTCCCATTTACCAGGGACACCTCCCCGTAAGCTTTCAAAGTAGAATCTGGTCCATGGCCGTTCTATTTGAAATATAGTTAGACATCAACATGGTCAGAATCCCATGGGTTTGGGCGTTTGCGCTCAGACATTTACACAGTGTAGAAGGGCCAGTTCTCAATCTGAGAACTTAATCTTAGCTATTCAGTAAAACACAATAGATGTAAGGCTGTGAATATAAACTGTCTCTTCCTAGGTCTTCTGTGTTTTGTGTGCTATTTTGATGTTAGTGCGTGGTAAGTTCTACCGTACGCAGTCACGCTTCCTATTATTTTAACAAACTAGGCAAGTTTGCTGATTTCCGCTCTAGTTTAGAAAAAGAAAGTATTTGGGAGAGGCAGGAACCTTAACCAGTTGCTATATGACAGAAAGACAAGAAATTAGTGCTGTATGGTAAAACTGTTGCATCCATTTGTACAATGAAATACTACTTAGCAAGAAGAAGAAATAAACTGTTTATTGACACACCATGAATGAATCGCAGGATTGTGCTGAGTGAAAGAAGTCAGACATGAAAGGGCATTCTCTTTCTATAAGGTTATAGTGTGTGCAAACTTAGCTATAGTGACAGAAAGCAGATTCAGTGTTTGCCGGGTAGAGGGATGGATTACAAAGGGACAGCAGGAAACTTTTGGGGATGATGGACATGTTCATTAGCTTGATTGTGGTTATGATTTCATGGGTGTATACAGATGTCAAAACTCATAAATTGTACACTTAAAGCGTGTGCAGTTTATTACACATTAGTTATACCTCGATATATCTGTTAAAACATTTGTTGAATACCTGCTCTGTTCCAGGGCCTGTGTAGGCTGTAGGGACACAAGAGTAAGCAAAACAGACACAGTCCTTTTCCTCATGGAGCTTAGAGTCCAATGAAGGGAGAGATGCTATTTGAATCATCACTTATGTCCATGAAAAAGTTTAGCTGTAATTAGTGCTCTGAGGGAGGGGGAGGTGCATGGTGCTGAGAGAACATGTGTGGGAATTTGACCTGCCCTAGGAAGACATTCCTGAGAAGTGATGACTGAACCCAGATCCGAGAAGGTCAGAGTTAGGAGGAAACCTCAAGGTCATCTTGTTTTGATTGGTATCAAACCTACTAATTAAGCCTGTTTAAAACAATATCAACAGCCCAACTGGTGTGGCTCAGTGGTTGAGCATTGATGGTTGATCCAGGAGATCGCTATTTGATTCCTGGTCAGGGCACATGCCTGGGTTGTGGGCTCGATCCCCAGCAAGGGGGCAGGGTGCAGGAGGCAGCCGATCAATGACTTTCTCATCATGGATGTTTCTGTCTCTCTCCCTCTCCCTTCCTCTCTCTGAAATGTATTAACAAAAAAACAATATCAACAAGAGTTTAATGTAACATGGGTTGGTGTTGGACCATCATGATCTACCAGTACTAAAGACACCTGGCTCCAAGTAGAACATGGTTGACAAAGTTTAGCTGTCTGAGAAGGTTTATGATCAACCTTTTACTTCCTGTGGTCATGAACACTCATGTTTGAGAAGAAGAAATGGTTCACTCCTGTTCATGTGGCATGTCTGTCCCGGGGAGGAGCAGAGCCCATATTCCGGCCTCATCTTGATAGTCTGCGTTCCCCACAGGGAGAAGACGAGTCGGTCACCCTGAAATCCTGCACACGGCGGAAAACAGACTCTATCGAGAAGAGGTTTTGCTTTGATGTAGAAGCAGTCGACAGGTGAGTAGCTGCCACACTTTTCCTAGGAACAAATACTACTGAATCTGGATTTCTTACCTTTTCCATTCAGTCAGAACTTTTGGGTTTCCCCCCTTTTTCCATTTCCATCCCTCTGCTGATATTCAGTTGGGAATAGACCTCAGGCTTGTTGCTGATTTCTAAGGACCAGTCTCGCCTCCCCACTCTTAGGTTTGGCGCTGAGCTGCTGGTTGGTTTGTTTTATTTTAGTGCAAGGGCTTCTTGTCTCAGGAATGTGTGTTATGTCACAGGAGGTTGAATAGGTGTTTAAATAAAACTGACTATTTAGCATGACTGTATGAGCTATTTGAGATTTTTTTGCTTTAAAAAATGCTTAATTTGTAAAATTTAATAACATGATTCAAAAGGAATTGCATAAAGGGAGGGGGGAAGATGTTCTCCTTAATTTAAAAAAAAAAGACAGCTTTCAGTTACAGCATTTCACCTACCACTGTGTGTGTGTCTGTGCGTGAGTGCCCAGGAAAGACAGCAACCCACTTGTGAAATCGCAGTCTTTGGAGAGAACTCTGTGTTGTATTCCTGAAGATTTATAGAGTCTCATTAAGTTGTACCATTTCGTGGTGTTAAGCTAGTTTGACAACATTCCAATTCTTAGAGACACTTTACTTGGCAACAGGTTAATTCTTTCAATGAAAGCCACGTGCTCAGCTTATTTGAGCTGTCTGTTCAAGATCAGCAGTGCTAGCAGGAAGATCCTTAAATCTCAGCATGATTCTCATGTAATGCCACTTAATTTCTCCCCTTTATTAAACGAAAAAGCACACCGTTTTGTTAAGCCAGTACTTTTACCCTCCTTGGGATTTTTCCCTGTGGCCACTTAGCCCCAGCTCTGGAGGATCCAGAAACTGAGTACCACCTGGGGTGTGCTTCTGTGTGTGGGCAGGTATGGATGCCTTCTCTGTCTGTCTGTCTGGATGCCATGATGTCTGTCTGTACTGTGGCTGCTGGAGGCTGCTAGAGCACCACTCAAAGAGCATGCCCTTTAGGCCTAAATCAGAAGTTCATGGAAACCAACTGTGTCTTTAGCAGTTGAGTTTTACAACTTTCGCTCTGCAGTCAGGCAACCCAGATCTAAAATTTGACTTTGTTTAGTAGCCTTCTGACTTTGGACAAGGTACTTAATCTCTTGGGGGCCATGATTTCCTTATCTGGAAAATGAAGGTGGTAATAGTGCCTAGTTTCTAGAATTGTAAGGATTCAAGAAGAAAATGCATATAAAAGTACTTGGCAGAGAGGCAAATAATAAATGCTCAACAAGTATTATTTATTGTTAATTTATTGTTATTATTTATTGTTAACTAGCTCATCCTACATGTTTATCAGACTTGATATTTCGTAAGTCTGGACTGTAAATGTAGAGAAGTAAATATAATTTGTAAAGAAAAGAAAGTACCCCAGCCTCTCATTGTGTTTGGGACCTGAGAGGGGAAGGTAATGGAGAAGGGTTGTATGGAGGGGGATGTTGAATTGGGGTAGCCAATGGGTGTTGCAAAAAGTGTGCATCAAATTAAAATTGCTTATTCTTGCATTTAAACAAATTTTAAATCAGGGTGCTTTAAGCACTTGTAGGCGTCTTTATCATTCTAAGCAGGGAATTTAAGAGAATTCATGTTGTCGGCCTCCGTGAAAGAGGGGAAGAAAATGTGTTTGCTTGGAGGTGGAGCCAGTTGTTTGATGCTGGTCAACTGCATGGCTCCCAGAGATGGTCGTCTGTCCGCGTGGCCCTTTGGAGAAGGACACGCCCTGCGTTGCAGCTCTCAGCTAGATGGGATGCAAGCTCGGCGATGCTTTCTGAGGCTCAGTTGTTTTCTGTGTTTTGTCCTTCAGATGTTCCCCCAGAAGTTGTAGACAGTTGCTTTTTAGGCAATTAAAACTCACCGTGGTTCCTCCGTCTCATTTCTACCCTTGTGGATGCTTCATACCACCTTCCCCCTTTACTATGCCCATAAAAGCTTTGCATGTCCCAGTTAGAAGCTGAGAGCAGATGTGACACCTTCAACATACTGAGCAGGTTTGGGAAGTTGGTTTCTTCTAAGTTGCTGTCTCTCCTTCCTTTGGCATGAAATGAGGGGTTGCAGAATGAAGCTGCTAAATCTCCTTTTAATAAGTAGGACTTGAGTACGTGGTTCTGTTGTAGTACTTATAATTTTTATTTTCTATATAGTGTGGTATTTTTAAAAAAAATATGTTTTTATTGATTTTAGAAAGAGGAAGATAGAAATATCAATGATCAGAGAGTCATTGATTGGCTGCCTCTTGCACACCTCCTACTGGGGATCAAGCCTGCAACCCGGGCACGGGCCCTGACCGGAATCAAACTGTGACCTCCTGGTTCATGGGTCAACACTGAACCACTGAGCCACGCTGGCTGGGCTATAGTTTGGTATTATGACACCTTAAAAAACTTTCTGACTGGGGAAACACTGCCCCTTCCAGGGCTTGCCACTTCTAATAGATAGCAAAGGGCATTTGAAGGTTTATATTTTATGTTGGTTAATTGAATAAAGACTAGATTTATCATTTTTTCCTGAAAGTGTGTCAGTTCTTTTGGAGAGAGTTTAGTGTAAAATTCCTGAGTAAAAGGAGACTTCATCTATTGGGGAGATCACTTTGTAAATTATATGATTGTCTAATCACTATGCTGTATACCTGAAACTCATACAAAATAATATTGAATGTCAACTATAATTGAAAAATAAAATTTAAAAAAATGGACTTCACTTAAAAGCAGCATGTGAATTAGTGGTAGTGGCATGCGAATCGCTAATACTTGCCAGTGTCTGTCTTCAGTCACTTTAAATGATCAACTCTACCTTGCAGCACCTTATGGAAATTAATGAGCAAATGTAGGGAAAATATTTGTTTAAGCTAAAGGATCCTGATGGTGGTCATTTCCCAACATCCCTGGAGTTGTTTATTTTTAAGAAATTTCTCACAGATGTGACACATGGTTGTCTTCTCCAGAATGTTTTCCAGGAGGAGCCATGAAACCGAATGGAAAATAATGGAAACAAAAGACTTCTTTTTGATGCATTGAATCAGTGTAGCCTCTTGAGGGCCAGTGCTTATACCTGGGGAAAGGAAATGATTAGAATGCTTTATTCTTTCCAGGACTAGCTGCCTCAACAGAAGTGCATACATTTGGACATAGGTGGAAAGTCCAGTGCCCATCCCCAGCATTGGCACTCTCCAGAGGTGGCAGCAAAGGACAACTTATTAGAGATGACTGGTTACTTGGTACTAGGGTAGGGGTGTAATGGGGACCAAAAGAAGCATAGTTCTTGCCTTCACAGAACTTCCCTTTGAGGGTAGAATGCATGTGCGTGCACACACACACATTCATGCAGTTAAAGGCACAAATATAAAGGCATAGTGTGTTTACTCTTCCAGCAAACTTGGAGGGCCAGAATGCTGTGGGGAAAATGTAAGGAACAGAGGGACCTTACCTTTCCTTCTTACAGAGAATCATGGCCTGACCGGAATGCCCTGAGTTCACTTCCTCC